GTATCGCCTTGATGTACTGCTGCTTCCAAGCATGGTCAAGTTTGTAGGACCACTACTGCCGCTCTTCTCGAGACTTAGAATGCTCGTCTCATTTGGCGCGAACTGTAGAGAAACCGTGATCACTGCGGACCTTCTCTCAAACGAGCCGATCATCTTTTTCTCCCCAGTCCAAGCATTGAGAAGGTGCGGTGTTCTCGTTCCATGGTCTTGGATGCTGATTTGGCATGAGGTGGAGACGATCTGATCGTTATACAGAAAGACATAATCTACATCGTCTTCGGGCCTGGATCGCTTCACCACGCGCAGTGTACCAGTAGTACAGCTTGGCAAAACATCTGGCATGACTCCTGCCTTACTCAGAGCACCAGGGAGATCTGCAAGTGAGGAAATAAACTGGACGGATGGCAAGTTTCGTATCTTACGCCACCCATCGTCCACAATTTGCCCAGCCTGAGTATTTGATGTCACCTGCGGTAGGCCTCCAACAAATACCACGGGTAGTCCCTTTTGAGCAAACTCTACCACTCGTGCCGCCACATCTTCCCGAACAAGATTGAAAGTAGATATGTTAAATTTGGGCGAGGCGAAAACCAGGGCCCTATAGCTTGGTCCGTCCGGAGCAAGGACCTTAGCTCGAACAGTAACCTGTGGTGAAAAGAGGTTATCGGGCGCAACGTAATCGTGAGTGTAGCCTGTCAATAAATGTCAGCTCCACCTTGGAACTCATCAACGAGAGCCTACCAGCAGCAGTTATATTGTTCGAATGAAGCAGGTCTGCGGCACTCCACGGTGTCTCGTACAGATACAGCGCCAAATCGATCTGTGGACGGCCCTGCTGCAGTACAAATTGATTCCGTGAGATATAATCCAGGTAGTCCTTCATATGAATCCAAGCAGGTTGGATTTGATTCCACATCTCGGTGAACCTAAAGCCGAAAGTCGTATATCCAGGCCATGTCGTATTGGGATAATTGCCAGAATAGGTGTACCCGTGCAGGACGACCATGTTGACACCCCCGGACCAGGCTCGTTTGATGGAATATAGAAGCTCTGGTATTGTGAGCATATAGGCCGGCTTGTTCACTGCGCCCATTTCATTCGAGACGACGTTGCGATTACTGATATGAGCGGGCCCGCTGAATTGGCGATATGCATCGACGTTATCACTAAAGCCTAGCGACTCACATTCTGGCGCATCGGAGAGAGGGATATCACCCAACTGAACGGGTCAGAGCCAACTCGGTGTGAGTAAAGGAGACGTACCATTTCAAGTGGCAGGTTATACGCTGGCTGATTCGAATACTGGATCCCAATCCTGTTCGTCCACTGACTGAAATGGGCCATATAGTCCTGATATCCAGCATTCAGTGTCCGACGATAATCCGCATTACACGCACTGTCCTTCTGATTTCCAAGTGTGTACATCTCATTGTACGACGGCACAATCGCATTCCAGTTATTCTGCGGTTTAAAAAGAGCTGGAAGGCATGGAAGACCGCTGTACCCACGGTCCTGCTCAAACCTGGTCAATAGACTCGGTGTCCAGTATAACGATGAGAGCATCTCCATGCTGTCCTCCCACGCTACAAAGTCATCAGTGGCGTTCTTATGAAGAACAAAGGAGCTCACCGTACCATACTGTCCCACTTCTTGCAGAAAGGTCAAGGTTTGTTCGTCACTCAGAATATGCTGATCCCAAAAATCGGTGATCAATTGCGCTCCCATGGCATCAAAATGGTCAACAATCCAAGAACCATTACCAATAACAGTGGTCGGATTGCGGCCGCCTGTGCAGCTGCGTTGGTTGGTATGCTTGACCCAGAAGCTGAAGACACGCCAAGGTGAATTGCCCAACGGTGCTGTCCAGTCTAGTAGACCATCCTTCACTTTGGCAGACAGATCAACAAACGAGAGTGGGTCCAGCGCTACAATTTTGGAACCGCCGCTTGAGGAGACTGCACAGCGTTAGATAATGAGAGAATATTCATCTACATGGTGTTACCATTAAGCACTTGGTACGCAATGACAGAAGTCAGGTTAGGTGTGCCGAAATCCTCTAGAGGGTGCATAAATGTCAAGCCCGATTGCACCACGGATGACAATTCGGCTGGCGGCGGAACTGTGGAAGAATAGCGTTCACCAGCGTGCACAGATGTGCTTCCCAGCAGCTTGACTTGCCCGTTATTATGTGGCCTATCCTTGGAACGAAGAAATGAAGAAACACTTACTAGTTGGACTGCCAGCCCCGGTGTTCCTGGAACTGCAGGGACACCCTGTCCTTGGTTTGCGCCCACAGCGAAGTCCATACGGATCTTACTTTCCTTCGAGCCATTCAGAGCAGCCTGGAACAGATCGCTGAAAGCAGGTGTGCCGAACCCATATACATCCCAGTCTGTGGGCGGCGTAGCGTTCATGCCCTGTGCTGTCGGAAGGCCATACAAGTAGAAGGGCAACAGTTCGATGCCACCGCCCCCAGCTTCAGCGATACGGGCGATATCCTCTTGGACGACGTCGGCAGGGACACTTGCATCAGGTAGCCTGCTTCTTGTCAGTACCTCACAGTCCGAGGGCAGCGAAAAACACACCAATAGCGGAATTTGGGACGATAAACGACATCCGGGTTAACAAAGCCGGAGTCGACGCCAGAGGCAGATACTGCTTTGGCTGCAAGAAGCGTATACAATGCTACCGCGCCACTTTGTACGACATGCAAGGCTCTCATGTTGGTTTTGTCTCAGTTATTGTGGACTGGATTTCACAAGCGGACTGTCTTTGATCAGAATCTAGGCTCCATATTCTCGTGCTTTGAAGAGCTCCAGGTTATTTATGGCCGCCAGAGATATGCAAGCCCTTGAGAGGATTGACCATATCTCGGCATTAATTATCACGAAGTGCGGGCGGTTTCCGGGATCGACAGCCAGACTTTCGGATGAAATTGTGGGGAAGTGGAGTCTGCCCGTGTGTTTGGGGCTTTGTTCACCGATAGCCATCACAGCTGATCAGTGCATGAGACATGCGCGTGTTCCGTATCTAATACTGAACCAGTACTTCCGCTTCGGGGTAGCTAAATCACGACCTCTTTGGGAAGCGAAGGCAGGGTGGCTAGGGGGGCCTGCATCTCTGGGTACTGCTGCATATTCTCAGCAGATCTGCCTTAACTGTACTAGGAGAACCATCGCAGTTTCCCATCAGCGGCTGAACTATGGGGTATATTGTTCAATGAGTTTATATCCATGTCCAGAGAGGGCTTTTCAATGCAGTGGAATATCTGTACCCGAAGGCTGCGTTTGTATTGGAACCTTCTGACTCGAAAAGACATTATAAGCTGCTCCGTCGGCCAGGCTCATCCAAGCATTTCCCTAGAGCTGTGGCTGCACTGATGGTGGAACACTCAGTGTTTCATATCTACTTCATTCCTCCAGTCAACACGCTGATTTAGCGCCAAGTGGATCTTGCGCTCCCCGAGTGTGATGCGTACTCCAGAGTGGTGATAGAGAATCCAGACTAGTATACTCTAGACATCACCACCTCCCCAAACTGCACCCACACTAATCACCACCCCCCCATCACCCAAAAGGGCACCCACCCAGGTATTAGCCACGTTCAAGCCACAGTTGGGTGTGTGACCACCAGCGAATCCCTGCTCGTGTCTTTTTTATTACTTATTATAATGGCTACCCTTACTGCTTTACTCTTCAGCTGCTTCAGACCCTTCTGGCCCCTTCACCTGAACACCCTGAAGCCCTCTATTCTTCACCCACACGCCCTAAATGCCCCTGCAGCGCTGATGAGGCCCCTTAGCTAACCTTGCCCTCTCTCTCCCATTCACCTTCCTACTTGTTTTTCAGCCCCTTCCTTGCTTTTTCTAAGTAGCTTAAACTAATCCTTAGCAAGAGCTATTTAAGGAAAATAGATTCACTGTGGCCACTATAACTATTCAGCCTAGATGTAGTAAGGATTCTTACTAAAGAAGAGGTACAGAAACACATAGCCGGGTCTAATTTAAATAACATAATTAAAGAACTCTCCTGTAGCCAAGTACACACTAGTATGCTTAAAACTAACCACTCTATCTACATACTATTCGCTAGTTTTACAACTACTGTCATGTTCTCTGTACATCCACTACTACTAGAATATATATAGGGCTGACACTCTTGATAACGCTAATATTAGTTGGATGGACACTTTAATGCTTTTATTCTGTTCCTTCGGTGCTTTATTGCACTATACCTCTCCTAGGCCTCAATCAGCCTCAATCAGCATAAGCAGCCATCCAGAAGTTAACATAACTAGATGCCCACCAGACATGAAACACTATAAGCATGAGCTCTTGGAGTGACTATACCAATTTGGCTGGCTGGCCGTCTCCGGCTTCGGACATGAACGAGACCCAAGGTTCTCAGCCGCCTCTCGACTCTCTCTCTCTCGGGGATTCAGTCATGCAACAGATGTGACTCGCAAGCTGTGGCTGCATCGAGGCGCTTTTCTCCGAGGAATCACCCGTGAGCGTCGATTCTGACAGGCGCATATGCATATAGTTGACAACTGACAGGACTCTCTGACCTCTGAATGGTCAGATGTCAGCCTTTCCCCTCCTTGCGGCAAGTCAGCCTACACTTGAAGGAGTGAAGATAGTCGCTTTGCCACATTTTCCCAAATCGGGCGTACTCTTTGCACACAGTCCCATGAGAGTCTGGTAACCGCCTGAATCAGAACCATGCGCGCAAAAGCAGAATGGACCACTGTCACAATGGAAAATCAGATGCGACGGTCAAGTGCTCATCAAAACTGGCCGTGTCTCCCGGAGCAGATTGATAAAGATATATCGCATGAGGATAACAAGCAAAGGATCCAGGCGGGTTAGGGTCACTGCTCGGCGCGCTCTCCGAGGAATATCAGCACATTGAAGAACTCTGCGATGCAATTGCGACGATTGAGACAGCGGTCGACGCTGCCCGGGGAATGACGCAGATTATCTATCCTGGCGTCGTCTGCATATGGCCCTACTACGGGACGAAGAAGTGACCATCGATCAAAGCAACAGAAAGCGGAAGAAAAAGGACCACGGGCACAAGACGGGCGAGAGCGCACTGCTCAAAGAGGCGGCGCATTACATGAGTTTCTTCCAGCGGGCCGGTTTCCGGTATGACATCGGGACGCTGTGGCCTGTCTCGGATAGTTCGAGTGTGGAGGTGGCGCGGATTGTCTATCAGATGCTTGTGGAGGAGGGGATGGTCGATGGTGCAGTGGCGAGGGCGCTTCATCTGGCGACACGGACGCTTCGCGATGCATCTAACAGTGGGATGCTAGCTGTATCAGGGGAGAGAGATCCGAAGCAATCGAGCAGCAGAAACAAGAAATCAGCCTGTCGTAATCGCGAGTTTGGATGGGTCCCGTATTTTCATTATGGCATTTGAACTACGTACTCTGTGGCCATTGAGATCTCGCAGCTGGTTTCCAAGTACCATGTCTACCTAAGTCAGCTAGCATTGTTATTCAGTGTTAATGTACCCTTGACCCTATGCTTCCTCTGTCAGGGCCACTGAAGAGTAGGAGAATACTTCTTCAGATCGAGATATCTCATCATACAGCAGGTGATATTGAGCTTTTACAGTGACAATCACTCTGGGCTCTTTAAAGCATGTCATAGACGCCAACTAATGGCCAACAATTTCAGTCAGTGCTGTTAGACAGTGCTACTAGCCTGATGAATGATTATCTATGTCTTGTCATCTTGAGTGTGCTGCACTCACGCAGGAGCTACTATATTCAACTTCATATCTCTATATTCCCAAAAAAACCCTAGTGTATCTAACAGTTCACGAGGATAAAATAACATCCAGGGGTATCGGATGCCAACTCCTTCACCACATCTCCATCACGCCAGGAAAAGCCAAAATACACGAAGGGAAAAAGAGGAAGAAACATAGGTCATAACTGAATGCATTTGTTGGCAACCAGACAAAAGTAAGTGGAAGAAAACAGTAGAGGGAATTAAAAAGTATAAGACAACCCAGTCGAAGGGGAGAAAAAAGGGAGAAAAGCAACAATATCACCTCCGTAAGAAGCTGGAACGCCGTGATCGACTGCTATCAACGCTTGGCCGATGCGGCATCGATGCGTTTCTCAAGAGTGCCTTTATAGCGGGTGATTGAGGAATACCGGGTAAATCTACCTTGACTGCGTTGTGATCCACAAGCAGTTTCACGGCCCTGAGGGAGCCATCTCTCACGGCACATTCCAGCGGTGATTTTCCAAATTTGTCGGCCTGGTTGACATTTGCCCCGGCGCCAACAAAGGTCCTAAACTTATCTTCCCAAGCGTCATTGTCAACAAAGTTCTTGACCAGAGTCATCAGGGGCATTTCCTCGTTGAACCCTTTCATCGGAACGTCAACGGTCTGAAATGACGGAATCAACAGTCGGATGAGTTCTGCGCTGGCGGCAGACCAGGTTGCGTAATGAAGACATGTCAATCCGTCGTCGGAGTAAACCCGGCAATCCGCTCCTTGCTCCAAAAGTAGCTTGGAGACGTCCTTGTGACCGTTGCGTGTTGCTATCATCAGCGGCGTCTCCCCCCTTGGGGACCTTGCATCGACCCTGGCGTTCGCTTCCAGCAGACGCCGAACGACTGGCGCATTGCCCAGACGGGCGGCAATTCCTAAAGGGATATTCCCTTTGCTGTCGGGCCTGTCGATGTCCACATTCTGACTTAAAGATCTCTCAACGCTTGCCAGATCGCAATTTTCTATCGCAGCAACCAAATCATCCGTCAGAACAGCAAGACCGCGGCTGTACACGGACGTCGGATCGGACACGGATGAACTGGGTGATCGGGACGAAGGTGGGCCTGTGGAAGAATATTCCGAATTCGAGTCCATCGAGGAGGTCGGCTGAAGATGTGTATGCGGGGATGTATGAAGGATCAATTTGAGTTCTCCCAGGAGTTGTTGGACTACACTCGCCTCTGGCCGATCGTGCTTGTTAATGCTCAAAGTACGCAATAGCATGTTAGCACAACCCTTCAGAAACTCGTCACTGTAGTTTAGATGGTGCTTTGGTAGATCCCTAATCCAGTTGGCAATATGAGGATTCAGCACTGCGGGTTGCCCCCGGTTGAAATAATCATGACGACCTGCATAATCCGTAATCCCATCATCGTCCTTCCGTCGGAGTTCATCTAATCTTCGGAGTCCCTGTATCCCGTCCAGCTTAAAGGCAAGTACCCTGACCAAGATACAGCCAAATGACCATATATCGCTGCTTCGACTGATTCCGAGACCATGGCAAACCTCTGGTGCCTGATAAGTACCGCGCATCCGCTGGAGCTGGGTCATCGTCTCGGTGATGGACTCCATGGGAAGACCATCTCCGCTACCCCGGCGCTCTATGCGGCTAATGATGGAGAGTCCGAAGTCGGTGATCATCCATTTCCCAATCTGAGGTCGTCTAGATGTGTCATGTTTCATATACACAAGGATATTGGCGGGCTTCAGATCCGTGTGGCAGCCGTGGATGTTATAGCCGAGCCCTGTATGCAGATGAGCCAGCGCACCGGCCAGACTAATCAATTCTTCGAGCAGCTCGCTCATATCGCACTTGGCTGGTGGCAGCAGTGCCCCATTCAGGAATCTGTCGAGGTCCATTCTCGCCAAGGGAAACAAGATGTTAAACTGACTCCCAATGATAACCGTTGCGAGAGGGAGGACGATGCGTGCATTCTGACCGTCGCATTCACGAAGCGCTCGGAGATTGAAAAGCTCTCGCTCGTAGTCTGGTTTGGACTTGAACAGCTTGCGAGCAACACTTTTCTCGGTCTAAATGGGGCAATGCAGTTAGCTGGACGTTCATTGACATATCCACGAGGCTCGTACCCAGTGAAGTACTCCCTTAGAGCGGTAATGCCTGGCAGCGATTACCTCTTTGGTGACTCTCCCAAACCCTCCACTTCCGCAGGCTTCGGATCTCCCCGCCAGAAACGGTAACCTCCAGCCATCCTCCCGCTTCAAATTACTGTCTTCCACGATGTCGATCGGGCAGAAAATATACCGATTATCATAGAACCGAGATCCAGCCCCGGGGCCTAGGAAATTGTCACTTTGCAGGCTCTGTAGGTCGTATTCGGGGATGTGACGATCCGTCCGATCCAATTTCCGATCGGGGCCCTGATGCGAGAAGAAGATGTCATTAAAACGCGTCCAGTCATCCCAGTTCACATAGATCAGGATCGAAATGGTCTGTAAGAAATCTCTGCGGATGTCTTCGACGAATGATGACGAGGGGAGACGCAACCCCTCGTGGAAGGCGAATTCCTCGAGTACCTCCGGGGCCCAAATCCTCGTGAGGCGGTTGCGGGGCGCGAATCGCCCTGCTCCAGCGTCAATCGCGGTACACAACTGTGTTAAAAGATGTTCTCGTAGTTTCCCAGGTCGGCGACGTCGCAACATAAATTCCATTTTCCCACGGAGTTGGAGAGTCACTAGATGATGGGGCGGGAATCGTCTGGTGGATCACAGGCGGCACAGAAACAGCAGATGAGACAGCAGTGGTCGTATATGCGTACGATACCGATCAGCGTCGTAGTCCATGGGGTGCTCATGAGGGGTTGGCTGCGCTCCAGTTGGAGGTTTCTCGACGGTGATGATGCCTGGAAGGGGAACCAGGAAGGAAGCTGAATGAAAGAAGAGCGTCAGAAGAACGAAGTTTACGTAGGCAGCAGATCAGCCACTTCCCCACTGAAGTGTCCGTTCGCCCCATGGGGAGAGTAACGGAACTAATAGGCACTAAAACCTCCCCCGGCGTGTACATAGACGGATAATGTTATACTGTTGACCAATAGTCCGAGCTGGTTGCCTCAAATTTTGCCTTGATTAATCATACCCAAAAGAATCAGTAGTTAGTATGGAGTCAACAAGGCAGGATTCGAGAGAACTGTTTGACATGAGACGCTCAAAAGAATCCATCGAGTAAAAGTACATTACGGATAACCGGCAGAAGAAGAAAACCCGTATCAACCTATCCTGGCTCAACAAGAAGGTTCTGTATTTATTAATTTAACATAATCAGTAAGTGAGTGGGCCATCTAAGTATTCCATAGAAGAGGACCCTTGTTAAGCTTCGATGTCCCACGCAAAGATAGATATTGTAAAGTATGAGTTGGATGTATAATATAACTAAGTATAAATGGTTTGGGAATTATTTTTTTAGAAATTTTGAGGATCACTTGTGGTGTATAACCTTGAACTTATTCAGAGAATAAATATAACCTCTGTAATTTATATTACTTGACATATCAGCAATTATCAAATGCTCACATGAATATTAGACAGTACCTATAATAAGCTGCATATTTTATTACAAAGTTCCTAATAGGTGCTGTCACTGCTGTGGTTGACAGAGGTGGCCCGCTCGCTTACGAATTATGTTATCAAACATATCTGGTCATCTCCACCAATGTTATACCTTAGAAAAAAAGAAATACAGTTATGTCACACCCTTGTACCAAAATGAACACCCCCTTATTCAAAAAGAACTCTCTATTCTCTCCAATGAGATCACCGTCCCTTCGTCTTCCTCTTCTCTTTCTTGCCTCTTTCTTGGCGGTTTGATGGACGGCATCTTCTCTTCACAGCGGCAGGGAGATGCTCAAATGCATGCACAGAGGTCTTTGTATTGACTGTCATGTTCATCAGTACACACTCAAGAAAGTGGGAGACAAGAGCAATTCATACAAATAGAATTCATCTCTTCCAGGCTAATTTGCGCTGTGCCACTTGGGACCAGGAAAAACACAAGGACAAAGGCCAGTGCATTGAGGCCGCTGTACAGGTTGGTAAGAACATTTCTGTGGATCATGGCCGACAAAAGGGGGACGTACCTGAAAAGAAACAGCAGGTTTGACTGGCCAAAGAGACGGGCTTTTCGAACACTGGGGTCGTTCGGGGAAAAAATAGTCGTCAACCGCGGCACGAAGAGGATCAAGAGACTCAGGCCAAGGAAGTTCACCATGACACTGAAGCTCATACCAACCTCTACAGACTCAATGTCAGCAACTTGCATCATCGGTCCGATTGAGCAGCCATATGCTTACCTCGGTAAGTCAGGGGAAACACTTCGGCGCTGAAAGTGAACGGGACAGGTCCAGCACCAATCCCGTAGAAGAAAGTGAAGATAACAACCGTAAAACCAGCAACCAGGCCCTTCTGAGCCTCCTGGGGCCTAATGATACGGAAAAAGCCACTGATCGCCAGAAGGGTGAAGAACATTCCGCCGAGAGAGATTAACAAAAGAACCCGACGGCCCCTCCAATCGATAAATCTGTAGGCTGGGATTGTAAATAGAAAATTGGCCAGCCCGAATCCTGGCTGGTATTAGTCTCCCTGGCCATGTGTTGGAATATTATCTCTTACCGAAGTTGAGCCAAGCAACATTGTCGTCCATTGGATCTTGACAGTTAACAATATCGGCCACATCCGGGGCTCTGTGTGAGTGTGAATTACCGTCACCGGGGCTGGAGGCTACATAGCGAAACAGGTCCGAGGAATAAAAGGAAAGGACATTGATCTGTAACCGAGGTTAGAGTCGATTATAGATATGCTATAGAACACTCACGCCACAAAGCTGCTGGGACGCCATCACCAGGAACGCCGCGACACAGGCTCGGCGGTTGCGTGGGACCGTCAAAAGAGCCCCTACTCTCTGGAAGAAGGTCTGGGTCTTGACCTTCTGCTGGTACAAATCTGTTCTCCACCATTTCTCTGGCCGTTTACCCTCGAACAACTCGGCTTCTATTTGCAGTTGGCTATGGATGTAATATAAGTCTTTGGCCGCTTGAATGTCAGACCCTCGCAGTTGACGGAGACTGATAAATGCGTCTGCGTAGGCGCCCTTTCGAATTAGAAAGCGTGGGGACTCGGGGCACAGAAAGACCAGGACGAGGAGGATCAGGGCCGGGACTGCGGCACTCCCTAAAAGCCCTCTCCAGCTGCGTCCAACAATCCAGTGGCATGCGAACCCCACAGCAATCCCACTAGCAAATAGTTTAAATAGCTGGGCAGACAATACGGCAAATGGCCTGGTATTCATGGGATCTGTACTTACAACGTGTCGAATAGTTGCCACATCATCAGCAGCCGGCCTCGCAGGTGATCGGCTGCTGCTTCCGCTGCGAACACAGGAGCAATAGAAGCTTTTGCGCCAATCTAAACAGAATCATTTGTTATTCCGCGTCAGAATGTATGTCGTATATGTGCACCGTACCCCAATTCCAAGTATTAGGCGACACGCTAGGATTTCCCCCCAATTAGTACATCGTGCGGTCCCTATAGATTTAGATTAGTGTGCCACTTTTTTTTTTTTTTAGCTTTCGCCGAATTGACATACCAAGTACAGATGCGGCACAGAATAACGCCGATATAAAAAGTGCAGGCCGGCGGCCAAATCTGGACTCCTGTAGGGGATCACTGAGCCATGTTCCGCTGTATGTCTCGTTAGTCCATGCAGGATACACAGCTCCGGAATCTAACTCACATAATACTTCCTGATATCCATGGCGCTGCGTCAATCAAGCAAGTAATATACATTTCATATAGGGAGACAGTGGCATCTGGTTTCCCCGATTTGAGAAGTAGCTGGCACTGCCAGCCACGCGAACCGGCATTGATGGTTGACTGTTGCCACCCTCTTCCAGTGGAGTTAGTGTGTATATACCAGGGGATAAAATACCAGTTGGCACTCTTACTGGATGATAGCTGCGCATGCAGTCGTGAGGATGGTTACCTTCAGCTCCTTCGTCTGCTGAAAGAATCCCGACTGCGCCTCGGATTGTATGGCGAGCTTTTCCGGGGCGGTCAGGTCACCGATCTCTATATTGGTCGCGTCCTGTGCTATGAGCGCCCCCTTAATAAGTACCTCGAGTTCGACCACCGGCCCAAGTTTGTGGTCGCGGTGGAATCTGCGGACGTCTTCTTTAAGCTCGCCGGGTGTCCGCTCCCTCAACGGATTGGGATTGCTAGATACGGGGGTGGTGGTGGTTAGCATAATACAGAAACACGGTACTTGAGGATATTTAAGGTATTATAGAAAAGCTGAACGCTGAGAACAGTCCGAATGACAAAGAAAAGGGCATTTACCGTCGTTCCACGTAGACTCCAGTTGTTCCAGTCATGCCTACAAAAGACAAATGTGCAATGACGGATGTTCTATCGAAGCAAGGAGGGAATAAGCTAGTTTTAATGCAACTATAATTTGACAGCAGCAAGCGTTTAAACACTCGCGAAGTATTCTATACGCCGCCCCAAATGCAAAGATGGGAGGGACCGAATACTTGGCTACACAAAAGAGAACAGCACTCCATCGCAACACGCATAGGCCCTGAAATAGGCTATCATCGGAGCCGCCCACACCCGTAGACACAGTAATGAGGCTGAAACAAGGGGCCATTCACCCACACAGGACAGCAAATCTGGTTCAGGGTCATCGCATGCTCCGCTCAGCCTGAGACACCTTCGTAATATTGATTTAATACGCCAGGGGTTGGAAGTAAATACCGAAGTGGCTTTGCAGTACATAATATCTATAGACGTGGATGTTACCTGCTTATGATCTTGAGCAGTACTCCGTATGATTTTGTATGAGGGTCGTCATTGAGGTAGTCTTCGACAACCGTTGGTCGTAGAAATCGGATGATCAATGGTCGCATTCGGAATGAACCTGCATCCTTATCTGAGATTCAGATGTTATCTGAATCGGTCAGACACGTTAAATCAAACAGCATTTTCGCGAACATAATAGACGGCCGAGTTTATGATACCCTGGACTGCCCGGGCGAGAGCCACATGATCCATGCTATTTTGTTACTGTGAGTGGTCGATCATATCCCGCATTTATCAATATTCACTAGGTAACCACAATACGCCACACGGATCCTTTAAGGAGGTTAGGAACTACGTTCAGCAAGACATCACGGCCTAGTCGATGTCGATGAACCCGTCCCTCACTCGATGGTGGATCTCAAACGAGTCTGAAATCAACTGAAAGAAGCAATAGATGTTTTCTTCTTCTCTGCACTCTAGACCCTTCGGACAGTCGATGTTGTGATATCAGCCGCATAATATGGGATAATATACAGCCTTTAGTCCGTATGCCCTCTCACGCTCTCAGCCTATTCAGTGGCGCAGCTTCTGCGATATATCATTGGTTTGAATACCCCCCTGTTGCTTGGGTCAGTTGACATGAAATGATGCTCCTCGCGAAGCAATAGGCCGCCCTTTGGTTGCCTTACACCTTGACAATGTGTTCATGCAGTGTCCCTTTCTCCTTCACTTCCCCATTTCTCCTTGGGATGACGCCAAAAGAGGGGGAATACGAAGTAGCGATGAGGCTGACAGGTTCACGCCTCATGAATCAAGCGGGGATTGAATCAAACACTGATCCTTGGTTCTTAATTATCCCAAGGTGCCACGTACACTGCCAAGCGTTTTAGATCTTGCCCCAGCAGAGTCCGTCGAACCTTGTCTGTATGTTCGGCCGTTCAGTTGGCACTCTCACTGCTATAACCGCCCCTTCCGGCCCTTCATTTTGTCCCAGCCTTGTTGGGACACAGGCGGCTCGTTCCGTGGTGGATAGAAAACTACAGGACTCTCCTCATCGTTCCCCACAACCCACATGCCAGACTTGACGTTTTCCCAAAAAGCTAGATCCTTCGACCAGCTTATCGTCTCTGATCCTGTTTCTAACATCCTTCATCATGAGCCAAACAATCCAGAATATTATCAGCGAGGATGAAACAAGCTACATCCGACAGGAAAAGCTTGAGGCCCGTCTGTACTTGTTATTCGGGTATCCCATCAAAGTTCAGGTAATAAGATCAACCCAGCACTGCCACCCTGAACTCGGCTGTCTTGCTCACGCCCTGTATTCAAAAGCACATCAATGGTCGATACCGTTTTGACGCCCCCAGAGAAGTAACTCCGGTAAGCTACATATTCCCCTTAACTGTTGTGATGACTGTCTTGGGCGAGAATTGCTGATCCGCGACATGCCCTCGCCACAGGATGAGATCGCGTAAGAGCTCTCTGCGTCTTATTCGATGCAACTCTGTACCTACTGACACCCGAGTAATGTAGTGATCTTCGCGATTAGACCAGGCTGAAGGGTTGGATGACGGGTACTTGATTTGGTCGCAGTAGGCTGCATATACACCTGTTTCCCTCGTAGATGAAACTTCGTTAAGGATCTAGTCACTGCAGAAGACTGCGAGCTCCTGTATATACCGTTGCATCCTCCAACTGCGCCACTATGGCGGGTGCCCATTCACTGGCGCTAAGTGAGTTTCCAGATCTGCCTTTTATAATGCCTTGTGAGCCCGTTTGCCAATCCATCGTGTGTGATCGAACAAGGGGAATAAGGTATAATTAACGCCAGTCCCCGACGATTTCCGGGATTATTCTAGAAGACGACAAAGAAATAGGCCTCTTTCTCTATGAGGCTGTACCTATCAAACTGGACCGTGTGACGCGCGCTGATAATCACTTTTCGCCTCCGATAGTCTCTGAGCAAAATATGGCATGTCTCGCATCCGACTACTATGAATCGATTCGACCTCATCTCCGCTATCCAGCTCTTGCTTCTCAGTCTGAGGAGTCTAATATCTATGTTTTCGAAACCACACCCGAGACCGTGTATTCGTTTAAGAACAGCGAACTATTCGAGACTCATATCGCAAATACCCCGAAGCCAGAAGCCCGCATAGTGTATTTCCTTTCGCTCGTTTTGAATCGCACACCAATTTGACGTTTCCCAGGTCAATATGCTGTCGAAATTCTCTGCGACCTTTAGGCATCACCGAACAGGCCATGCGCAAGCTCATGAGCCAGTACGACATTGATTCTTCGTTCTTCGACCTAGTTGTTTCATTCGGCGACAAGCCACGGAGCTCTGATGCTGGCCATGGGGGCATGAACGTGAAACAGGGAGCCAATGGCGCATACGGTACTCCCCCTTTGGTTCGGCTTGGGTATGTATCCCGCGCTAACTTTGCAGATATGCAATATCTCTTCACGTATGCAGAAGATGACAACAAGGGAAGAGAAACGGTCTCGTGGAGGATCCGCCAAGTCTGTGTCTTCCATCGATACGACCCCTCGAAGTCGGGGAATCTCTGGATCTTGCTTCATGCAAGCCCTCAATCGAAGCTCCAGCGACAAATAGAACAGACACTATCAACAAGCCCTGCCGCTCTTCTTGACGAGTGGTCTTCCATTCATCTGCTAGTTCTGTCCACTTACCTGGGCGGTTGGCGCTGGTGCATTCGGAATCTGGGCGACGAGATCGAAAAGACTGTGCGTTTCAGATAAGCCCAGATCTTGACTTTCAAGTTAATTCGCTGCCAGGTGGATATCGCACTTACTCTGGATCTGTCAAAACCGCGGACAGGGGATCATAAGGATAGGCTTGTTTACCTTCTCAAACACCAGTACCTGGGCGATAGGCTAGTTCCAGTCGCTTCTCGGGTTGGTGTTGCTTTGACAACACTGCACCGGTTAGAGCAGATTAACTCATTCTTCCACTCGAAGAGATTCTCAAGCGATGAAGAATTCCAATCTGTGGCCGGTGATCTGGCGTATTATATAACATCCCTAGAAGGACATCTTGAAAGTGTTAACGTGCTAGAACGAAAGGTTCGGGGCATATCGGATCTGGTGAGCTACCCAGAAATTCCGCTGAAATATAACGTCGTCCTTGATTCCCTAACCTTATTTGATACAGCTGGGAGTTGCCTTGACGGTGGAAAACCAAGCTGTGACTATAGACATCAACAACAAAATGCTCGATCTCAATAACAAGCTGGTAAAGCTCACCAACAAGTCTTTGGATGGAAATGCCACTGTTCGAATCGTGACGCTGGTGACATTGATATACCTGCCAGCCAGCTTTGTCTCCGTGGGTGCCCAAACCTACCAGATTATCTGCATTCATCCGTTATGATATCCTGACTTTTTAGGCAGTCACTCCTTGGGATGAACCTCTTTGACTACGGCTCCGGTGGCGATTTCCAGATATCGCATCAATTCTGGGTTTTTGTTGTCCTCGCCGGCCCACTGACAATATTAACAGTTGGGTCCTGGTATTGGCTTACTCGGCGGCGGCAGCGTTTGCGGGATACAAATCGGGGGGCAGGAATGGAGGTTTGATTAGAAGAATATGACACGTATAAAGGCCGTGGATTGTCTATAGTGGCGTTTTGCCTTCCCTTGGATTCCTACACTGCTTGTTTGTTATGTCGCTTTGATTGCTGCGTACGGTGAAAGACTAGAGTGCCTTGTTTCGTCCTTTTCTCTTTTATTTTCCGACGTCATTTGATGATATTGCATCCTGTTGCGATACATATCGGGATTATATATGTTCAAAAATCAATAAAGGTGGGAATGTAGGTATAAATTTATAGTAACTATAATGACTTCTTTAAGATATCCTAACCAACCTAGTTTAACTCTCTGTTAATAAAATCAGTAAATACCTTAACACCCAGAGGCCCTTTTGTACTTAGCAGAAAAGGGAAAAGATTAGGGAACACATAAAGGGAGGAGGGGAGGGGAGGGAAGAAACAATAAGCCCTATAAGAAGCCAGGATAATATTATAGGATATTAGTTAAGTCCAGTATCCTAAAAAGGAGTGATACTCGTTATTAACTGATTTAGCCAGGACAGGTAGGGATAGCTGTAAGACGGGATAGATGCATAGGATGCTAGGGTGGGTGAAAACATGAGTATACCCTGATAGAGCAGTTTAATGCATAGTAATATCTTTACTAGAAGGGTATGTTTACTTGCTACCCAAAGCCTTGTGGCTCTCAGAGAAATGATGAGCTTTGGGTTAAGTCACGCAATGCGAATACGGCGGCTGCGCTAGGTATGTATTGAGTCTATTGACCGCGTTCAAGCCGCACGCCAGCTAGCTAGTATTTGGGGGGGTGACCACCAGCGAATCCCTGCTATTGTATGTTTTTGTCTTCAAGTCTTGCTGTCTAGCTACAGCAAAACCTTATTTATTCCTTTTGATTGCCAAAATATTTGGCGGTGGAGAGGATCAATCATTTCAAATAGTCTAGAAGTGGATCCAGAATCAGTTATTTAGTTGTTTAGGACTTGATGGACAGGTTTCAAGATTCTTGACAGACGCCTTTCGTCTTCTCAAAGAGAATTCTTTTTGATTTATACAGATTATAGCTTTTAAATACTTAGTACGTAGCTAGTGGGTACTTGAGAAGTACTTACCTATATGGTGTTTACGAATACCTTGTTCAACTGGGTCGATATTCTTCCGTATATCATGGATTTCCTGTCCTGTTGTTGCCTCATCTAGATACCTATATGAGATGCAACATGCCTAGGCTCTGTTGATTAAAGCAGCTTGGATGGGTTTAAGAAGACCTAAGTAAGTTATTCAAAACCAGCTAAGTACTTGAAATGCAGTGTCTGATCCTTACCTCTTTATTTTTCCTTACATTAAAGGCGACATCTTCTATCTCGACAAAGCTTATGGAGGAGTCTCTGATTCCATATTATCAATACATACACCCCCATAAATATGAATGAAGAACCCATATTCACAACATCTCAGTGACTCGGGGGGCATTATCAAGCATCTCGGCCTGCCGAGTCGCCCAATATTTTCTACGTTCATGCCATTCTTTGTCAATTAGAGTAGGATAGTCGTGCAGTGCTTGATTTCTGTAAAAGTACTCCACCCACGCAGAGTAAAGCCGGCTTTTCCGTATCTTTTGCATTATTCTCGGTCCTTCCTCCCTCCGAAATTCGTCGCACGTTTCGTCGATCCAGTAGCGAGGTTCGTCCACTGCGGAGGCTGCGGAGGCGCGGATCGGACGAATATTGTATTCTTTCATTTTCGACGAATGCCACGGAGGTGGTCTGATCTGATCATTGCTCTTTGATGAACCCACTCCCTTCCAAGTAGCCCAAGACCATAGATTGTTTCCATTGTCTGTTTCCGGAGCATGAAAGCTAACCATAATTTTGAGCCAGGTCTCCTCAATGGAGCCATCGTCAATGCCTCGGACGGATTGTTCCATGGTATCATTCAGTTCTGAGATGAAGTCCTTTTCCTCATCGAGGATCTCATCAATTTCTTCGTCTTCCATTGGACCACGGGAAAATGCTTTTCTCTGACAGCAGACATGAGTCATGCCAGCCCTCTCGAATTCGATTGCTCGAACTAGCTCCGCTAAAGCCTTCTGCGCAGTGGTTTCTCCTCGGAATTCTCTCAACGTTAAGAGCCAGTCCAAGACCCATATATAATTCGAACCCTCCGAATAAAAGAGTTTGGTAGGTGAACAGCCATTAGGAGAGCAGGGGCAGCGGCAGTTGTCATGCATTAAGGGATCTGCACCATGATGTAAAAGCGTTGCTATTAGGACAATTATTCTCGAAACAGCTCGTAGAATATAAGATGGATCCGCTGAGCGGTGGAATATACTTGTATTCGTCCTTTGGCATGCAACGTGCAACGCCGAGAGCCCTCTGCTGTCTTGATGGTTGACATTACATCCTCTTGCCAGAATATTATGGTATGTTAGACAGTGTGACTGGGATATTGACGACATGAAAGCGGTTTGACCTTTCGAATTGGGGCGATCAATATATTCGTATCCTGCTTCAAATAAGGCGTTCACCTGCGTATCGTGCCAAAGACGATGAAGCAGCGTATTTCCGTCCTCAAATAGAAAATGTGGGTTTGCTCCCAAATCGATCATGATCTTGAAATCTTCTGGCCGGCCCTGCCAGTCAAGGTGAAGATAGTTTGCCATGAGGCAATGAATCTGACTTTTCAAGAAGGTGTCTGAGAAAGGTCCCGTCGTGCGGAAAAAGCTGAGTGCCCCAGTCACCACGTCCCAGTGACGCCAGGCCCTGGCGTAATCTAGAAAATCCAAGTGCTGGGTATTTATGCGATCTATCCCAGTCTTAAGGAGAAGTATCACTGATTCAACGCAGCCATATGCTGCAGCGTAAACTAGCGGACTTCTTCCAGAATCATTCGTAATGTCAAAATGGGGCCATACTTCCAGTACGCTACAGAGCACGCTGGGACGTAAAACGGCCAGATGAATCGGTGTTTGCCCAAAAACATTTCTGTCTTCAAAAAACTGTGGGCATTGCAGGAACTTCGTGATTTCAGTTGCGGAGCCACACAAAATAGCATCCATGAAAGGCGTTTGTCCCCAAACACCTGATATAGATCAGTCGCTGGCAGTAAGTGAAGCTCATAGGAGGTGGATAGCATTTACCGCATGCATTTTTGGAACATTCCACGAAAAACTTGAGCAGAAAAGGATCTGGCATATCAGTGTATGCTCCGGGAAAGCCAAACAACGGTTCCGCGAACGGCAACTTCAAGGACGCGGGCATAAAGGATCTATTGCATGTGTCTGCAGACAAGTCATACCCCACAGCGATCAATTCTCTAAGCAAAGTCAAATGGGGCTTGAAGCCACTCCAACCTGCGCAGAGAGATAGAAGCCTATACAGTACTTTTATTAGAGATAGAGTGTCCCTTTCCCCCCAGATGATCGACGTACGATGTCCTAGTATTTATCGGCGCGCCCCATTCACAGAGCATCCTAAAGAAAGCAATGAGCATACCATGACTGCAGCTCATGGGTGCAGATAAGATTCTCTGAGATGGCATCAATCAATTTTCTTTGCTTGCAAATCCATGAGAAGCATGAGAAATTCAACTTACCTCCAGCCAAGTCTTCCCGTCGGGGTCAACATCTTGTGGAGAGACTGTTCCGGTGCTGAACAATTCGAATAGGGCTTCACGGGCTGACTGGATATCTTGACGGTCTGTTTGGCACTTCCAGAAAACTTCAAATGCCGGTGAGGTATGCTTGACCAGCTGTTGCATCCGCAGATTTGGAGTAATTGAGAAGCAATAACTTCCCCATGAAGCGTCCAAGTTCGCTTGGACGGCCCAGGGCATACCGAGCCAATAGAATCCCATAAAATGTGAGAATCGGTATTGCTTCTTGTTCTTGTAATAGTTTGCAAGACCTTTTGAAGTCTTCTGGGGCACCGGGTTTGTAGCCCATATGTTTTTGCTGTCAGCTACAAGCCCGCCTGTTGCCCTGGTCGTGGTTGTGGTCGAACTCTTCGAAAGAACAAAGTTTTGACTCAGCATGGGCTTCATCATGACCATGATATAGTCAGAAGAAACTGTGCTTTGAAACAACAACAGCTTCTCTATGTATCCTGAGAGATTTAAGTGAATTTTCTTCAGGGCCTTTTCATGCTTCAGACTGCAAACCGCTTTGCGACTTCTTATGATCTTGGAATCGTCATGAGCGGGTGTCACCTTCACGAGGATATCCTCGAGCAAGATCATTTGTGACTTGCATTCGTCAACGAAGGACTTCAGCACATCTGAAGTCATTGGGTTGTAGTGGCCGTGATCAATGTGAGACTGTGTGCGTCGCAATGCCTCGATGAAGAGTGGCAAATGCAGCCTGATACCCCGAAGGGATTCCGGTACTTCGTCAACGAGGTGGAGGTAGTGATTGAGACGGTCGAAAATTTTGACTGTGAAATCTACCAGTTGGATTGTTGATGCAATAGCACCCACAATACTGAGGGCATCTGCCATCTTGATATTCTCGGCAACGCTAAGGACGAAAGGGGCAAAATTAATCAAGGTAACCTTATCAAAGGATGAAGAAAAGTGCTTTCTGGCAACCTTCAGGAAGGGTTAAGGTCCGGGAAGGCTGTAACTACCGAAGAACAGGGCCAGAGCATCTAATACATATAGCTGTACACCTACGAGGCTGAGAGCAAATGTCAGGAAAACCAAATCTAGGCTGAGACATGGCTTACAGTGCATATGCATCATCCCAATCTAATATGCGGAGGCCTGGCGCCTTAGAGTGAGTCAGTTGCCGCCATAGTCAGGCTCCCTCAATACTTGGACAAATCATCAGTTATTTTCTAATCACTTCTGGCGCCAAAATACCAGTCAAAGAAGAGAGGGTCTGTGAAAGAGGCTGCGGCGCACATCCAAACAGGTGCTTTCAACGCCACAGAAACGCGAACGAGCCAGGTAACTCTCGTATTTAGCAATACTCAGCCACATGGATCTAGAGGTGGCAGTTTCGAACCGCAGGGCTAAGGGACCTAATAGCGCAAGAGAAAGAGGAGAAGAAGGGAAGATGGCTTATCTACCCTTTAAGGCCATCATTTTGCCCATTTGTAAGAAGGTAACTTCTTGGTAGGCCTGACTGCAATATTCAGGCACCTGAATATTCACCTGAAGGTGCCGGAACGTGGGCGGCAAAGCGGCGAGGGAACAGACGCTGGGATGGGTGAGCACCGACATATACATGCTGTTGTATGTTTTTCTGTCTGTCGTAGTTTTTTGCTATGACTGGTTTAGCACCCTCGCCGCCCTGTTTTCGAGTCTGTTCACAGACTTGACCTGAATCCCATGAACCCTGACTGAATTGAATATTGCTCACTCAATACCCCGCACACCCCTTGTCTGGTCTGACTGCAGGTTGTCCCGCAGTACTGTCTGACATTCAAAAGGCTCCTTATTCAAGATAAGCCACTTAAGATACAAATTTGATCATACACAGATATGACATGTAATACTTTCTCTCAAAAACTGCCCACCTACGCTTATTCCTGACTCCCTGCTGCTTGTGAACCACCAATTCGATGCTTTATACCACTATTAACTGGGATTCGCATTAAGCTAGCTTACAAGGATTGGGCACGCATGGAACTCTTGCATCTGCTTCGGCCACGGGTAGCTTCTCCAACAATTCCCTCGCGTATGCGGCCGCGATTGCTGCAGTATGCCTCTGCCATTCCTTGCTCTTGTGAGGATCTGAGCAGTCGCATGCATATTCCTGCAAATCTTTATTCTTTTGCGAGTCGACCATTTCGCTAACAGTCGCGACTAGATCTATCACAGAAGCTGGTTACCCACCCATGCCAAAAACTTCCGGCTCGAGAAGAAACTTACTGCCGGAGAGCTGTTCAGCTATCCTCTTCTGTCTCTCGGCCGTATTCGGAGGGATTCGAGAAAGGAGATCTTTTGTATATGCAGCTGCCGCCATTGCTGCATAGCCTTGCCAGTCATTGTTCTTATGCGAGTCCGAGTAGTCGCATATTCCGCGGATAATGAGGCAAGGAAAGTGGTTCGTCAGCCCTGCTGCTTCCATTTCAAAGCAGAGAACACCCTTTTCCGCGGCAAGTTTATCTCGAATAGACGCATCCTTCATTAACTGGTTTGCGGAAGCAATCGTGCCATAGTGGATTGCTGGGTTGTCTTCATGTTCACCTCGCTCCCTTCGTTTTATCAATTTTGTCGGATCATTGCCACAGACTCTCGCACAGCTTCCTTGGCATTGTAGAGGGTGAACAACGTTGCTCTCATAAAGCCTATCGGTAGCCAAATCTGGCCGCTTACAGATTGGCTGAAGTCTGGGCTTTTTCTCGAGAATGTTGTTGATTGCTTCACTAAGGTGATGGCCTTCGCTCATATACTGGGCCTTTAGCCCATTCACTGCTGTCTGTAGGAATATCGGTGGCTGGTTCAGGAAGCCAATGTGTTGGAAGCTCTGATCTTGTATCGTCTTGCCAAAGTCATACTGAAATACTCCCCCAGTCCCTCCATTCGGAGTGCTGACGACAATATCTCCAAGACGAATATCGTGCTTTGAGCTTGGTGCGCCACCTCCAATGCCAACTGACAGACAAATCCTAACGTTGGGAAAGCTGTGCAGCATGTCTCTTGCGACACATGCAGCAGGGGCTATGCCATACCCAGGCAGGATCGCAATGACAACATTGTGTTCCCCAATCTTACCTAACGTATAATCGTTGTTGTCATTGACGCAGACATACTTTGGTCGGCCGTGTTTCTCATCAAGGAAAGCTTGTGCAGCAACATACGTAGGTATGGCGCATATACAGCCTACAATATAGTCATCGTTGCTCAAAGCTTCCCCAGTGATATTGTCCCCTGACGTTGGAGCGTCGTTATGATGTATTCTTAGTCTCTTCAGAGCGCTGGAAGCAAGTCCCAGATGTTCGACAGGCTCATACCCTCTCTTCAGCATTATGCGACAGGTTTAAGGGCATAGACTAGACGTGAGGTATTCGCTGGGACGATTTGGGCTCGCCTGCTGAGATTGTCTGGTATATTGCGAAGATTTGGCGTCGACGGCCTAGACTGCTCAAAAGATAAAAGCTCATTAGCTGAGCCCCCGTCAAGCAGAAGGTGACTTGAATTGCGCTGAAGGAGTCTGCTTAATGAGAAAGTATGAAATCAAGGCGATAGGACTGGGAACCCCATATAATAATATCCGGCGCCGGACAAGGCTGCAGCACAGTCACGCAAAGCGCCTTGTCGGCCATTAGTATGTTGAATTTACGTAGCAAATGGGAGGCAGCCATCTAAAATGTGGGGTCGCAACATATCATACTCTTATTAGAGTAACGCTTTCTAGCACGGCGGCTGGTGTTTCATGATTATGAATTCTCCAACCAGGACACCCAGCTTGGCGCCCAAATAGATCATCAGTCCCTCTTTAGGCGATTTCTGTCCCGCCAAGGATTTCTGGAGGTGATGTACCCTCGAAGCATTACCGACCTTCTAGATAGAATGTGTACATGCGGGGTGCCAGCAATGGAACTCGCCGCTGCGCCAGATAGATTTGGGGGCTGAGATGTGATTGAATACGGTCATACCACTTGCTCATATGCTGTCTTTCAGGTCAGCCCTGAACTCATGTTACCCCGACAGTAGCCAGGTTTGGCTGAGACTTTGGGTAATTTTCGAGAATTATCAGATCACAGCAAAGTAATACTGAGGTAACGGACTGCTTAAACCCGGCCGGAACCCGCCATGGGTTGGGTTTGGGTTCTAAAACAGGTTCTAATTATAACCTAGGTCAGATTATTAAGCTTAGCTTGATTCCTCTACGTAAAAGCTTCTAGGAATTACTTACTTATTTAATGACTAGGTATAGAGGTATTAGGAGTATCTTTAATTCCAGATCACTATTGTCTTGATTAGCCTCCTATAGCAGTGTGAGCTGTGCACAGGGTATTAGGGTATAGAGAAGTACAAAACCTGCTTCACTAATCTACACTTCTCCATTATTTCTACAGCCTACTGCAAGACACTAGTTTAAGACATGGGTAGATCTAAGTATAGAAGATCTACGTATTTGGATTTAATCAAAAAAGCTTCGCCTTCTATCTAGGAGTTTATCTGCCATCACAATGATCGCATTGCCTTATTTCCCTTCCGCAGCCGCGGCCTTTTCCTTATCCTCAATGGTCTTGGCAACAGCCGGGCGAGCCTTGATACGGTTCAACCAGGAATTAACATGCGGGAAGTTCCTCTCGAGATCCATTTCCTTCGACCAGAAGAGTGCAGCCACCTCGAACCAGGGCACAAAAGCAGCATCGACGTAGCTGTACTTGCCGCCAACGAGATACTCCTTGTTCTGGAGCGATCGGTTGAGCACGCCCGAAACACGACGGATCTCGTTAACATAGCGCTCGACCGCACTGGGTACCTTCTCAGGGTGGTAGATCGTAAACCAGGCAGCCTGCCCGAAGTACGGACCCTGGCTAGACACCTAGTAGTGTAGCCACTGCTTGCTTTCGTAGTACTCCTTCGAGCCGGCGGTGAAGCTGATGGTGTGTTGCCTGTCGTATGTCTCCACTAGGTACTCAAGGATGGCGCCGGATTCCCAGATGGTGACGCCGGTGTTCGGATCCTCGAGGGCTGGAACTCGACCGTTAGGATTGATAGACTCATATTGCTCCTTCTTTAGGTCGGCGAGATCGACAAACTTGCGCTCGTAGGGAACCTTGAGCTCTTCCAGGATCATGAGGACCTTCCGGGGGTTGGGCGTGCCGGCATGGCCCGGGAGGGTCCAGAGAGTGAGGGTTTCGAGAGACATGGCGAGTGAATAAATGATTGATTGATTTGGAGAAAGGACTTGGATACAGAGACTACAAGGATCGAGGGTTGGTCTGCTTGAAAGTGCCAGTGTACTCCAATGGCGGGAACATCAGGACATACATTATTCAGCTCGGCACCCGAGAAGACCGAATGCTTGATAAGCTGGATAGATGAATCTCTTGTAATTTTCATCAGAGTTTATTAGGCTTTAGTTGTCAACACAAATCACGGACTATGCAGCCAACCTGGCTGAAGTTCAGGATGTTGATGGGTCCTTGGTCATCAGCCCAAACAGCACAAACTATAATGCAAATAAAAGTTCCTTAGAGTGGGGCATTGATAACTGTGGAGTTTAGGAACTATAATGTAAACAAACCTACAGTGGCATGTGGAAAGTTTGAATCCAGTGTATTTACCACTAGGCCTAATTAGGTAATTCCAAATATTCTATCCACAGATTCAGTTAAAACTATATCAACAAGGATGCATGAACTATGAAGGAATCAATGCAGGCTAAAGTGGTAATTGGTGCTGAGCTGCTTGGAGAGCAAGCTATGCTCAAGGATAAAAAGGAGGTAATCTGTCAATGCTTTGCCAAGAACTCTTATGTATCAACTTTACTGAAGCAGGGCAAGGAAGAACAGCAGCAGTGGCAAACCACAAACCTAACCTACATATAGCATGCAAGAAACTGCGCAAGCAGAATGCAGATTACAGGCTGATGTCAACTCCACGAAGGATAAGTATAAAACTCTGCAAGACAGGAAACAGTCAGTAACTACTTGGAGCTAATCACGACTACTCAACTGCATGAAGGTCAGTCTGTTAACCTGGACTTGGAAGACTATAAAAAGACCTTTGAGTCAGAGCTCAAAATACTAAAAAAGAGGTGAAGAGAGTAAATAATAACAATTCTTCCATCTCCGCCGAGCTTGCAAATACTGCAGCTTCTCCGTCTGCTGCTCATACAGAGAACATCCAATTGCGTGTTGAGCTCACAGGTTCAACTACAGAGATCATGGAGTTACGCAATAAGAGTGATTACCTAACGACCCCAGTCTGGTACATATTAATACAACGGGTTACGCAAAACTCTCAGGTCTTACGCACATTTTGAAGCCGAGGAAGGTAGTCAGATGAAGAGGAATTGGCGCTGGCCCCAACTATCGCAGTCAGGGATGCATGACTGGCTTGACGGGCAGGAAGATTATAGTACCTGGTGCATATAAGTAGCCGAGTGAGACATTCCTTTGATGTGGTTTACGGGTTGCTTAACCGGATCGTTGAGCCTGGTTTGTGTTCATCAGTCTTCGTTCTAGCGAGCCAAAGTTTAGAAGAAAGGTCCTGAGCATCGCATTCGCCTAGTACAATTTAAATAGTTGGATAGTGCTGTAGACAGGCGAGGTAGCTATGGGTAATAATTCACGAGCATCACTAAATTATGATGCAGTGCTGCATCTATGAAGCCTGCCAAGAATTTGCGAGGAGAGAGGCATCCACAACAACCCGTAAACCCCTCTGTATCTAATTCTCAGGAGGAAAACCATCAGTTGCGATCACTAGAAAATCTTCAGACATGTAGTCCCCGGTGCCGCTGCGACTACGCAACTCCTCCATGGCTTTCTCTCTCTGTCTCTGTCTGTTTCCGAATCTCCAGAGACTCCTGTGCAGTCAAAGGCCATCCTTCTGTCTGCTGGTGGAGCATGTTCAGGATCTCCGGCGGTGGTTCTCCTTGAAGCTTAAAGAACTTCCCTGCGGCCTTGGGCCACCAGTCATGCTGCTGAGGTGGGACGTTTCTGGAGGAGCAGAGCCGGTAGTGAGGATCAACTAGGTGGATGGTAATATACCGAAGGTGGCCCGGTCTCGAGGGATCAACCAGCGAGAATGGTTCAGCCTTGTACCGTAAGGTGTTGGGCCAGGCGAGTAATCGGCCATTGTTGGTAGTGGCAATGGAACCGAGATCCTGAAGGGCTTGCGGAGGAGATGGAGGTGGATTCGCAGAGTAAACCCAATGTGGAATATCCCAAGCCAGTTTGATCTTCTCCGGGTAAAACAAGTTGAGCTCGTATTCGTTCATGTGGGCTTCTTGCTGTAAGGAGATTCGGGCCCCTTTGATGTTCTCAATATTGTAGTAGCACACTGCAGTCGCCGCGATTCGCTCATTCAACATACCGGCCACCTGAAAGTCGGAGTCACCCTCATAGAAAGGTGTCTCTGGCGACAGATCAACACTTGACACTTTGAAAATTACTTGGAGACCATCCCCGATACCTGGCAAGTTGATGCTCTAGTACTCATGGTCGGGGATTGGGTCCAAAGGCTGGCTAGGCCTGGAGACGTTGACTCGGGGCATGACTGGCCGACTGGTGTTTTTGCCTCGCTTCCATTCCTCATAGGAGAAACTAGTGCCTGGCTCGGGAAGTTCATAGATATTCCTACGGCGAAACTTCTCCTCCATAACTTTGGTCAATGTTTTGGGCGAATTCCACTGTTCAGTCGTCATGCTGCCAATAATATGGGCGGGGAATTTGTCCGGCGAATTGTTCACACGGAGGCCCTTCAGATTGTCATATTCAGGGAGGGCAAGGTACGACCTGACTTGAGCACAAAGCTCACTCCACTGTTCGTCAGTAAAGGCTGACCTTGGACAACAGTACAACAGGTGCAAATCAGTCCTCTTCTGAAGTCTTTCCTCTCTATGACGCTCAGGAATATCATAAGTACGAATTCGCATTGGCTTCCTTCCTTGATTTCCGATTACCAATACCTCGTTCCAGAGAGGAATAACCTGAGCAAGGAGTTCTTCAAAGGCTTTGTATGCTCCATCCTGGACCCAGGGAAGGTTATTGATGTAAGAGGTAATCCTCGGGTGACCAGGTCCGTCTGGGGATTCCACTTCGCAAGGAAGCCACTGAAACTTGTCAGAGAAGAAATTTGCTTTTATTCCTCCTCGCTCTTCGTCTCTATGGCCATACGGGTTTTCATAGTCAGTCTTTGGTGTGAGAAAATCAAAGGAATCCTCATGGGGTATCGTCGGTCGAGGAATTTTTCGTATGCTGGTTCGAGGTGAGGGCCCGGCAGGGTCAAGCCAGTGTCGTCCGCCATCAACAAGGACAGGGGTCTGCTCATACACCAAAGGATGCAACGAGGGATCCACTAGATAGCGTAGCGGACTGGAATTGCCCGATTCATCAGACGACGGGGTCCAATCGTCGAGCAGTGGTTGCAATCCCTTTTGTAACTTTTGCAGGAGACTCAACGACAGTAATCTGTCCGATTTGGCAACAGGTGAGTCGCCGTCTTTGATAAAAACGTAACCGGTCCGTTTGGACTCCCGGGCTTTAACTTGTAGCTCGGCTAGGCACCATTCACTAGCCGCCAACTTTCAGAACTACAAAAGACTTATCAAGCCTAAAACATATTCCTCTGCAGTCCTATCTTACTAATGGTGGTCTATGCCAACAATATCAAACATGTCCCAGCCCACAATTTTTAAAGAGCCAGACAAATATATGAGTAGTCCCCTAAACTTGGCCAGAATAATCTTAATAAAAGACTATAGAGACTTATTCTATAAACCCTGCGGTACTTCTTTCAACATTTAGCCGCTCAAGAACTAAGAGCTGAGGGGCATCACACACTCATTAGATGATTATTAAGGGAATGCTGCCTTAATAACCAGCAATGAAGACTATTTCAATGCCTTTATTTCAGAGCTCTTCTGCTGTTTTCACAGCCTCTTCAAAGTAGGCGCGCGTCACGTCAACGCCCTCATCATCCACTGATTGAAGAAACCCTCAGCTCCACAGAGTGGGTTGCCCATGCAGCGCTCTCCAATCAATCAAGATCATCTTCTCAATACGTGCAGCGCTGGCGCGCATATCACTATAGATGGTTTGCATATCGTAGTCTACCAGAGAGGGATTAAATGATTTAACAGAGTATCTCTCCCTGTTAAAATCAAGGCCAACATCATAAATAACACCGCGGTATTTCATGGTCGAGTCTTTTATAGAGTTGTTGTGGAAAGCGTAGATGCTGGGAAGAGGGAAGGAAAAGGTAAGCATTAGTGAAATATTTATGGCCAGAGACGGTCCACCCTCTGGAGTGCGCATTCTTGGCGCTCCGTAAGCCCGTCGCAAGCTTAGGTGAAACTTGCGGAACCGACAGATCTCAGATTGGTGTTTGCCGTTGTCCCCCTTAGAGAAATCACGTGAACTTCTTCCGCCATTCCGGTTGCAGATGTCAGGGATCTAATTTTTAAGCGTAAGTGCTCATCGGGCATGTTGTCCACGCCCTTGGCGCTGATCTTCCAGCAAATCATGATAGACAATCGGCAAAACAGTTGGTTAAATCACATATAAGTCGGAAGAGTACGATACATACGTCAGTTAACCCAGGGCAAGTTTGAACCTCGTCATATAACATAGTCAAGTAGGTAGTCTCCGCGCCGGGATCACATTCCCGAGACTCAAGCTCAATCCCGGACGCCCTGATGTCCAATAGGCTCTCCCGAGAGGAATAGCGGCAAATCATTAAGATTGGTAATATGATGGAATATTACATTGGGGGAGCCACCGAACATGGCGCCCCAGAGCCCCTGATGGGCTTCATTACTACTCAGTAGGGAACATCTGGTAGTTACTCATCGGGGTGATAATTACCCTTGATTGGAGGAGTCCTGTTCGTTTAAAAAACTTTTGCTCACAGTAGGCAGCCTAACCCACCAAATCCGATAATTGAGCTCGACGAATGGTCCCACCCCTGGCTGACAAAATCTCTAAAATGACTCTTCCTCACTCTGGCTGACCACCTATGCTCCAATTTCCGGACATGTTTAATGAAATATACACCCTGTAGATGAGATTAATGAAGCTGCATATTTTGTAAAATACTTGTTACTTCTAATCAGAGATTAACGACTGTCTTGATAACCGGCTTAGACTCTGCGTCTCGTGTCTTACTGGCAGTGTCGTATGCATGTGGGACAGACTCGAGCCCGGAAAACCGATGCGTGATGAGTTTTGTCACGTCTGGCTTGAGGGCGTGTGACTTCACAGCGTTCATTATCTCAATTGCTCGAGGATAGCAATTCACGTAGCGCCACACTGACACCACATTGATCTCACGGCCAGTGAGCTCTGCGACTGGCCATGTTTGAATAGCAGTTCCCATTCCCACAAGCACAACATTGCCACCGTTTTCGGTTGCCTGTAACTGAATGAGTTTACATGGTTGGGTTAAGGATTGGAAAGAGAACTCACATAGATCGACGTTTGCACGCAACTCTCGACTCCTGTACACTCAAAAACATGGTCAACTCGGCCCACATCTTCTCCTCCTGGCCATTTCAGTTTCCCAATCTCCAGAGCTAGATCCCTCGCAATGGCAAGGCGGCTGTCGATGGTATCCGCTTTCTTCGGGACGACCACAAATCCTACATCTGCAAAGCCATGCTCCAGTGCGAATGCAACCCGACCTTCGTCAACGTCAGTAATCACCACACGACATTTATGTTCGATTTTTGCAACCGCGGCGCACAAAAGACCGACTGCCCCAGCCCCAAAAACCACGCAGCGCGCTCCCTGGTCCACACCGGCTCTGTTGACAGAATGGATGCACACGGATAAAGGTTCCAGCAGAGCACCATCGTCATATGAGAGTGCGTCGGGCAACCTTGAATCATTACTTATAAGCCATAGTCATTTCCGCTAAGGACCACAACACTTACTTATGACACCACTCTGCGGGGTGGTCGACGTATTCTTGGAGTGTCCCTTGGAAATGGGGAAATGATGCTCCGCTGCTTCGGAAGCGCATTTTGGCGCAAATGTTGTATCGGCCAGATCTGCATTTGTCGCATTCCAAACAGGCAACACCGCTTTCGATCGCCACTATATCACCTACTCTGATTGCTTGAGTCTTCAGAACTGTCGGACCTACTTCCACCACCTCACCGGCTGCTTCATGCCCACCGCACAAGGGCTCTTTTACTTCGATTGAGCCATTTCTGTGGAACTTGAAATAATGCACATCGGAGCCGCACAAAGTCGTTGACCGGACGCGAATTCTCACATCTGACGGCCCAATAGAGGTCATCGGCCGCGCCTCCAGACGCAGCTGCTGGGGGCCATGAAGGTATTGGCCCTTGCTGGTACTGGGAGAGCTAGTCATTTCTTTTCCTCAAATTGAGGACCTGAGTCACCGATTCTGTCATGGACATCCTCGAGTGGGAATCGAAGATCAAGTTAGTTACTTGTACTGCAGGCGTGAAATGACTTCCGGTCATCGGAAAATGACTTCAAGGCCTCGAGGATTCAACACCCAGTAGCAAATATTTGGCGCATACTGGCGTCGGCATTAGTCTTCCGAAAGCAGATCAACTAAATCCGACACAAAAGACAACCGTAATATATTGACAAGCGTCTGGTTCTCAAATTTTCAGACCTTCCTTCGTCTCCGATCATCTGTTGCAGTATTATGTGTGGCGACAAAATGGCTTCCTCTTACATCCCCACCGCCATAATCATTGGTGCCGGTCCTAGCGGTATTGCGATAGGGTACGCATCGGGTTGAAGCACGAACTAGGTTTTAATGATTTTCTGGTAATATCCGTAACTTGTTCACCGGTTGTGCAGCGAAATTTTGACATGTTACAGATATATGAAGAGCTGGATGGTGTGGGAGACCTATCTGGGCTGGCAAAACTCTAGATAATGCTGGTCTTAAACATCACTCATCTTAATGGCTGTGACCTCGCACCCCTGAGCAATACAAGAGAAGGCTATAATACCTGATTTCCCCCAAGTCCACTGTAGAGAGAACTTTAATCTTACGTTGGTGTGACAGCTGCAAGAGACGCATTTTTGATCTGGGATACCTTGATTCCCTGCATAAGTCTCTAGTAGACTGGCTGTGGGGTGGATATGGGTTAATCCACATGGGGTTCAACCCAACCTATATAGGTTTAGGGAAACCTATAACATTAGTTATCCACCTCCTAATCTATGTAGGTTGGATTGTGGATAACCACTTTTATTTATAATTAGTATATAATTTTAAACTATACTACTTCTAGTAGGTGGAATAATCTCTTATTAAGAGAATATTATAGATACTATAGATAAATTATAACCTATAAACCTATTAATCTTATTACTAATATATAAAATTATTAATATAGTAGATAGCTATAGCACCTATAGGCTATAGCCTATAGCCTATACTACTATACTATAATTACTATACTAGTTTCTATTATACTAAATATTAATATTATTGTAACAGGCCAGAGCCTAATGCTGATCATGTGTGTCATGTGAAGGCTTCTATACTTAGCCTCTTAAGAGGCCCTACATGTTTACTTTTCCTCAAGCTTTTGATAGATAGATTGCCAGCCACACCTAATTAAGTTAATTCAGTCTAAGCCCTTCATATATTAAAAGCTTCCTCTTCCCTATAGAGTATTAGCAAAAAACCCAGTGAAACCTTAGTAAAGTAATG